CATCACCATGTACGTTGATGCATATGCTGTCAATGTGATGTTGCAAAAAAAGGATCAGCTAGCATGGGATGAAGAGAAATACTCCCGAGTTCAAAAGTGATATTATGTTGCTAGCTAGCTAGCAGCATGAGTTTATACTTTTATGCTATATAATTTTTCCTTGTTTAGTGTTATTTGTGGCATGGCAACTTTCATATATGGGGACGACAGCTACTAGAAAAAATAATTTGTTTCCCACTCGATAGGTACGTACTACGCAATATCTCACTAGAACAGAAGCTACTGATTCTTGGTTGTTTTGTATCAGTTTGTTTTTTCATGTTATTTCTATACATACAATCATGCATGTCTATTAATCATTGATAATATATTGCTCTTATTCGATTTATTGCTTGAATGGTTAAAAAACTTTAAAATTTTGAAAATTCAAATCATTTAGTTAAAGAGAAAATGCTAAATATATAAATAAAAGCAATAGTATAGCTAACAATATACGCTACATGCACATTATTGTGTGCATATTTAACAAAAAAAAAAAAAACAATATCTTTCTCTAATAAGAGGAAAGAATATCCATAGAAATTGATACAGTAGTTTCCTCTTTACCCTTAAAAAAAAAAAGTAGTTTCCTCTTTAATTAAAGAATATTATTACCCTGTAGACATTGAAAGGCTATAGTCACATGGTTTGTGCCATTCCCATCCTTAGGCTATCCAGGTGTTTGCTTCATAACGTGTTTGGCCCCATGTCATGTAGGGGCCAAATTACATTCCAGACATGTTTTCTGTATAAAAATATACAAGTATTTACAAGTATAATAAAATAAATTAAGTTCCTCTCATAAATTTAAATCAACAAATACACAGATTCTCTCATTCAATTTCTTCAAAAACTATTTTAAATTTACAGAAACAACTTATCCTCCTATATTGTTTTTCAACAAAGTGTTTACTAATGATCAAACATGTAGTTAGTTAATCAAGTGCGATTAGTTAATGTGGGCAGAAACATTACGTGTATTCTCTATTGTCCTAATTAACGGTCCATGGCTACAAAGGTAGGGGAAATAAATAGGACGCATCATGGAATTGACTAGAAAAGGATACAAACAAAAGGTAAGATATCTAGATATTGCATGCTTAGCTAGTTTCCATCCAAAGTCTAACACAATGATACCTTTCTTTCATTCTATCTAATCCATCACACAGACTATAGTGTCTAGGGATACACAGTATTCGGTGGCTGCTCAACTGCGCAATGCTTTCAAATTTTGGAGTGGAGCAAACCCTCATCCCCTTGCCATGTGAGACGCAACACAATCTGCTTTCGTAGATTCTATATATCATCTTTCCAAATCAAGCACTTGTTTTTAGTTTCCCTAAGAATTACAATCAAGTACGTACTCGATCGCAGGGACGGAGCCAGGATTTCAATACTGGGGGGCCGAGAATAAATAATATATAATTTATAATAAATGAAAATTAAAGTATCAAAAGCATATAAAAAAAAATATAAAAAAAAATTAAAATTGTTGGGGGGCCGTGGCACCCGTAGGTCCCCCCTTGGCTCCGTCCTTGCTCGATCGTTTTTATATGCACATGTTGAGAATGAGATTCTATAATCTCTCATAAAAAAATTATTTAAAAAGTTGATCTCTCGTGACATGTACATGGATATACGAATATATCGAACTTTTAACATGACAAGTTATCACTTGTTCAAACTAAACATAATCTGTAGTTGGGGAGCATGCAATAGAGGAGTGGTTGAGAATGTTTTATAAATCTTTGTAATTTAGTTCAAATTTTAGGTGCAAATTGAAAGTCTTACAATTTGAGGTTTAACCTAATTTAGGCCGTGAATTTATTTAAATTTTCAAAAAGAAATGGGAATGAAAAAAAGTAATATCTCTCTTCATCTAACTTGATGAGTTGGTGTGGTTAGAAATCTTACCATTATATATATATATACACGAGAAGAAACGATACCGATGTAACTTAAAGATAGGTTATCCTACTAAAAGTTTAAAATATAAATGATTTTATTTAATATTAATTAATTTAATAAATTTAGTTGGATAACTTAACGTAATTAATATACTATCACGTTTAGCCTGAAAGGTGTTTTTCTAGCATTTTACTACGAATGTATAAAAGGCAAATTCATTACTTTTTTTCTTAACATAATTAATATCTAATAAAATTTAAATTTTAATATTATAAAACTACGTTCAATGATAATAATAATTACTAGTAGTTCAGTATTTTCAAGCAATGCATGTATTTAAAACATAATATAATCTTTTCATATTATTTAATATTTCTAGCGGAGTACGAATTATTATTTGAAATTTAATTCTTATACAATATGCTAGAGATTTTTCAAACACACCTTTTGTGTCCCGCTGAGAAAGTACGAAAGCTTTGGGTAATTAAGGGATATTGAATTGGAATTTTGAAAGATAATTTTAGCATTAAAAATTTTTGTAAACTTTAATAGATTTTAAATGATTTTATAGAAATGTCATGACTTTTAAAAAAAAATTAAAAGATTTTTAAAATTTGGATTTTAATAAATTTCTTAATCAATATTTTGTAATTTATATTTTAATAGATTTTGGTGGATTTATATTATAATATTTTAAAGGATTTTATGGATTTAATAGGAAAATATGGATTTGCAATACTATAAGATTTAATATATATATATA